ATATTAAACCTACAGTTCCCTCAGGCAGCAGGTCAGGACACCACTGTAGGAATGGCTGCTACTGGCGAGTCTGGGGTTAGTATTGCCTGGGTGATTGAATGGAGGTCCAATCCTGCACTGCCTGGGGTTGCCCTGAAGAGGTCATTGACTGATTGAAATTTGCAGAGGGGTTGAGGGTTGATGCCCCTATTATTGGCGGGGCCTGGGGCTGGCCGCCTCTCAAGTTTCCCAATTGAGGTGATGGGATAGAACCTCCTTGGGAGCGGTTTGTGGAATTTAAATGCCGACTGTTTTTATGGTATTTTGCTCTACATTCCTTTGCCCAATGGAATCCTTTCTCAGATTGGGGATCAACAGTTAAACGGTCTTTTTCCAGGGCAAGAAGCATCCAGATGGAGGAGCCCTCCCAGGGCCTAGTAGCAGTTCTCTGCTAACACTGATGCTGAGCTTCCCTCCCCAGGAAACTGGGACACCAGGCTGGACAGATTTAGGCCAAGTGTTCCAAGGTGGGCAAACTTTTTGACTTGAGGGCCACAATGGGTTCTTAAACTGGACCGGAAGGCCGGAACAAAAGTGTAGATGGAGTGTTTGTGTGAACTAATATAAATTCAAAGTAAACATCATTACATAAAACGGTACGGTCTTTTTTTTTTTTTTTTTTTTTTAGTTTTATTCATTTCAAAGGGGCCGGATCTGGCCCGCAGGCTGTAGTTTGCCCACGGCTGTTATAGCTGGTGGAGGGAGGTCTTATCACGCCCCTCTGGATGAATGTTCTGGAAGGCTCTTGGGGATTCTGTGATGTCTAGTTGACCTCTGGTGGTCCTGGAGCTGCCAGGCGATGGGTTCTCCAGTGAGCCCCCCAGTAACTCCATCAGTCTAACAAAGATGGAAAGCAGGGTCAGTGCCACACCTAAGAGATAGAGGTTCAATAAATGCCTCATAGCTGAAGGGATCCCCCTCCTTTGCAGAGCAGTAGAGCTGCCTTCAGTTTCTGGAAGACTCCTGGGTTCTGCAGGAAGAAGGGCCGGAAGCGGCCGGCTGGATGTAACAGCAGGTAGTGCTGGAGTCCAGAGGAAAGTCGGCCGACAGGCAGCGCAAGGAGGCGACTCAGACAACCCTCAGAAGACGAGCGCACAGTCAGCAGCAAGTCGCAGAGTAAGGCCGCCCACACTGCTCACTTATACACAACGCCTGCTCCTCGCCCGCGCATGCGCACTCGGGTCCCTGTACAGGCTCTAGATGTTGGGCTCCGACCCCAGCAGGTCCAAGGGTCTCCAAAGGTGTGGACGGAGTCGGCAAAGAAGGAATGACACGGAGACAGTGTTCAGTTGATCAGCAGCCTAGCCAGGATCTCTAGCCAGGACCTCCAGCCAAGTTCTGTGTTTTTTTTGTCTTGTTACATCTGTATTTATACCAGTTGACTTTAATCCTGTCAACTTCTATTCCAAAGGCTAGGGCGTTTCTTATCTCCATTCCAGGGAGTAAAGATTATGCAGCTTAAGCGTGATTGTTCGTAGTTAAAGTGATTAACTACCCGCCTGGCACTTAGTTAAGGGGGTATAAGTCCAACTTGTTAGGGGTTTTATTCCCTCCCTAACTTCAGGGGAAAATCCCTACCTGGAGAAACAACCTTTCTTGTAAAAAACTTTCTGTCTGACTGGGAGTAACCTTAACTCCTCTGCTAGCAAGCATATATGTTAAAAGATTAATACAGAGTCTTTTTTCTTTAGACTCAGTATGACCCATCTTCTCAATCTAAGTTCTCTACTATCCACCCTCTTACCCTTCTTATCCTCTATAAGGGGGTCTGCAGCACCCTACGGTGCAGTCCTATTCGTCCCAAGTGCTGCGGGGGGCTTACCTAAGGGGTCCCTGTTTGGGTGCCAATTGTTGGGGTCCAACCCCAGCAGGTCCAGGGGTTCCCAAAGGTGTGGACGGAGTCGGTGAGGTAGGAATGACACAGAGACAGCGTTCAGTTGATCAAGCAGCCCAGCCAGGTTCTCTAGCCAGGTTCTAGCCAGGATCTCCAGCCAGGTTCTGTGTTTTTGTGTGTGTGTGTGTGTGGCTTTTAAAAAAAATTTTCTAATTGTTTTTCCTCAGAAAACTTTTGCAAGTTGTTGTATTTACAACGCCAACTTTTGAAAAGTCACTAAACTAAAGTTAACTGGACAATAAACTAAGCAGAAATCGCTTTGCAAAAAGAGGGAAAGCCCAAAATGCCACTTTCTATAGAGAACCCACAATTCAGTTTTATTCAGAGCAAAGAAAAAAGATATTTTGATAATACTGGAAGAAACTCAGCCATAGATTTGGAATCTGTACCCCAACTACACATGCAATGAAGACAATATTCTTTTTTTATTTATTTTTATTTTTTTTTATTAGTTAAGGTATTACAAATGTGTCCCTCATCCCCCCCCATTAACCCCCAACCCTCCCCCTCCTCCCGCCCCCCCCAAAATTCATGCTCGCAAACCCCTGTTGTGCA